TTTATTATTTATTAATCGTTATAATAACTATAAGAGGTTTGCATTGGTTTCTTTGATTTATATTCTTTATTCTAAAAACAAATACTTCGAATTGAGGCTAGAGTTTGCTTGCATGGTAATGAAAATAATTATTCGAATCTATTAATTGTGAATGATAGCCGATATTGTTTCCAAGTTTCTCAATTTCAATTCATATTCATTTCGATTTTACACTGAAGGAGTGCATATATAAAAATTGAGAGGATTTCGTTTTCATATTCTTTGGTTAAACAAATATTTCGAATCAAAGCTACGGTCTTAATTGCATGGCAATGAAAATAGTTATTCTAATATTAATTGTGAATAATAATCAGTAAGTATTTCCAAGTTTCTTAATTTCAATTCATATTAACTTCCAATTGAAACCACCGAGGACGGTGTCCAAACTAAAGGCTTGCACACATGCACGTAGCTCAAATACGCAATTAAAGAAATACGCACTTAAATTTATTCAGTTAAGAAGAGTTAAACAATTATTAATTGACCAATATCCTTGAAATACGAAAATAAAATCGGTGTAGTGTAAATAATCGTCTTGATAAAAAATGAGAGAATTGCACACATGTGAACAGTTTCTTAGAATACGTGTCTTTTACACGGTACCTTTAACTGACTGTGTATAGTGTCGTCGATGGTTATTCGAAGCACGTGGTAAATACGCATTGATTTCAATCTGCATCCGGGACAAATTTTCGGCATCAGGAATATGTTTTCACAAAAGGTGACAGCGTTTGTTAAACGCAAAGAGAGTTACGTTCGGAAACTGTCTTTCTACAAGACTGACAAGGTGCGTAGATAACCTGCGATCGAAATATCTCTGATATTTCGTTTCGGTTTACAAACATCGCGTTTTTTTCTGATAGTACTATGCCTTGATATACAAATCTTCTTAATTACGTTCATTCATCTGTTCATAACAATAATCGAACGATGCGTAATGAATTATTCTGAAATTACTTTAATTATACAAACAGAAATTCACGGATTGTTTCATTTTGACATTTTTGCAAACTTGAGAATGATTTTGCTTCAGGAACCGAATGACAATGAGTACAAGAGGATCGTCGACATTCTCTGCAAATTCCTGATGAATCCAGATTCCACAGAAGATGTCGCAGAGTGTTTCTTAGAGATTCTAGATGTATTAGTTATCAGAAGTATTTCAGTGGCCGAGCCCTGTAGCAGTGATGCGCTTCATAGATTGAACTCTGTTATTCTTGGGAAGCTACTTCATATAGATCCGAATTTATTAGTGTACGTTCAACGGTACTTCGACAAAAATCCAGCACCATTCCAGTCTGTAGAAATTGATGGCGCTCCTGTGAAAAGGTGTAGGATAGAAGAGACAGAAGTATTCGATTATGAATTGGTCACTTCTTGTTACAATATTCTCTGCAGTGCACCGATGTATTTCAAGCATAAATGGAACTGGTCCAAGTTCTATCAGTATTTGACACACGATGCTGAAGGTGTCAGATGGGTAGCAATTAATTGCCTGGCTGTCGTATTAGACATGTCAGAATCTTGTTACCTATCGCACGTAAATAGTTTCACTGAGAAGCATCAAGAATTTTCTATCGAATTTAAGAAACTTCATCGAAACATTGTAACAACTGAAGGTACAATAGAATTAGACGAAATACTCGACGAGCCTTTAGTCGTATCAATTGGAGGGATCTTGCTCCCAGTTTTCCAAAAATCTACACTTAAAACAGAATTAAATTTGGTGCCTGTTCCATCGACGCGACGTAATCTACAGAACCTGGCCTTGGCAGTGTCTTCTAACAAGTGCGTCTGCCTGCAAGGCGCAGTTGGTTCAGGGAAAACTGCTCTGGTCGAATTCTTAGCACAAGCAACTGGTCGCGACGCGCAGAGCTTTGCGAGAGTACAATTGGGCGATCAAACAGACTCTAAGATGTTGCTGGGAATGTACAGATGCACTGATATCCCCGGAGAATTTTTATGGGAGCCTGGGATATTGACGGAGGCTGTGCAATCTGGGAAGTGGCTGCTGCTCGAAGACATCGATTGCGCCGCAACAGACGTCGTTAGCGTTGTTAGGCAGCTCGTAGAAAATAAGACGTTGTCGGTTCCCGGGTATAGAGACTCTGTACAAGCGAGAACTGGATTTCAATTGTTTGTTACTAGAAGATTAACGTCCGGCTCGCAAACATCACAGATATCTTTGCAAAAAGAATGGTTCTGCGTGAATGTAGAATCATTATCGAAGGACGAACTCGTAACGATTGTTCAGACGATGTTTCCGATTTTGAATACGATAGCAACGAGACTTGTCGATGTTTATTTGGTGTTCGTCGCGAGACACGAGGATGTCGTAAAGCATGCTAGATTAATTTCTACGCGAGATTTGATCAAATGGTGTTCCAGGGCGATTGTAGATTTCGATGTATCATCGCCTACGTCTGCGTTGAAAATATTCCAAGATGCTCTCGACACGTTCTGCTGTTCGGTTCCTAATTCGGTTCAGCGATCGAATTTAGCGGTTGCCGTGGCGCATAAGTTAGGTATCGTGAAAACGAAGGCAGAATACTTCTGCGATGTACACAAACCGACTATAAATATTCACAGCGAATGCCTCATCGTTGGCAGAGCGAAGTTGAGGGTCAAAAAAGCGGACCGAGTTAAATTAGAATCGAGAAATGCAAACTTTTCATATACGAGACCGTCTGTGTGTCTTTTGGAGAGGATAGCAAGTTGCGTGGTTCAGAAGGAGCCAGTTCTTCTCGTGGGAGAAACTGGTACAGGGAAAACGAGCTGCGTGCAGTACCTTGCACAGATAACAGGCCATAAATTGATCGTAATAAATATGAACCAGCAGAGCGAGAGTACGGACTTGTTAGGTGGTTATAAACCAGTAGATTTAAAATTGTTAATTCGACCGATTCGAGAGGAGTTTGAAATCGCATTCAGATCGTATTTCGAAATTAAACCGAATCAGAAATTCTTAAGCCACCTTGCGCGTTGCTTTGAAGATAGAAAATGGAAGACGCTGACCTCGCTGATGATACACAGTTCCAACGCTGCTTTGAGGAGACTCCAGGTTTCTTCGAGTAGCCAAAAGGAAATGGAAATGTTGAAGAAGTGGCAGAAAATAGTGCAGAAGCTGGAGAAACTTCAAACTCAAGTGCAGAGCCAATATTCACTGGCGTTTTCGTTCGTCGAAGGCAGTTTGGTAAAGGCGTTGAAAAACGGGGATTGGGTTCTGTTGGACGAAATTAATTTAGCCACCGCGGAGACGCTGGAATGTCTCTCTGGCTTACTGGAAGGATCCTGTGGATCATTGTCTTTATTAGAGCGAGGAGACAAGGAACCGATCGAGAGGCACCAAGACTTCGCCATTTTCGCTTGCATGAATCCTGCGACTGATATTGGCAAACGAGATCTTCCAGTGGGACTCAGAAACAGATTCACAGAATTCTTCGTCGACGAACTAACAGAGAAGTCAGACTTGCAATTGTTAGTGAATTCATATCTGAAGGATTTGAATCTTCCGTCAGAGAAAATTGCGGGTATCGTTAAGTTTTATTTAAATGTAAGGAAGGAAACAGAGACTAGTCTTTTAGATGGTACTGGCCACAAGCCACATTATAGTTTACGGACACTCTGTCGTGCTTTGAGTGTATCTGCCAAGAATCCTTGCGCGAACGCGTTGAGATCCTTGTACGAAGCATTTTGCCTCAGTTTCTTAACACAATTAGATAGTAATTCGTATCCGGTTGTTCAGAGGATGATAGTGAAAGCTATCTTAGGGGAGAAGGCCGCGAGTGCTATAATCAGCACTCCGATCCCAAGGCCGCGTGGCCACGATAGTTTCATCTGTTTCGAAGGATACTGGATCCCTAAGGGCGATCTCGAACCGCAGTTACCTAGAGATTATATACTCACAGAAACTGTGAGACAGAACTTAAAAGACTTAGTTCGAGTAGTGTCCATTGGGAAAATGCCAGTACTGTTGCAAGGCGATACCTCGGTTGGCAAGACTAGTTTAATAACGTACTTAGCGAAGGCTTCTGGTCACTCCTGTGTTAGAATTAATAATCACGAACATACGGACTTGCAAGAATACATAGGGACTTACGTAGCTGATTCTACGGGGAGATTAGTGTTCAAGGAAGGAGTTCTGGTGGATGCTATGAGAAAAGGACACTGGATCATCTTGGACGAGTTGAATCTAGCACCCAGCGACGTCTTAGAAGCTCTTAACAGAGTCTTGGATGATAACAGAGAATTGTTCATTCCTGAGACTCAACAGGTTGTCAAGGCTCACGAGAACTTTATGCTCTTCGCTACTCAAAATCCTCCGGGCTTGTACGGTGGGAGGAAGGTCCTTTCACGTGCGTTTAGGAACAGGTTCGTCGAACTTCATTTCGACGAGATACCACCGAAGGAGTTGCAAGTGATATTACAGAAAAGGTGTAAAATGCCTGAGACGTATTGCAAGCAAGTGATTAACGTGATGACGGAGCTTCAGTTACGAAGGAAGAGCACCGCGACTTTCGCTGGGAAGAAGGGATTTATAACTCTCAGAGATCTGTTTCGTTGGGCTGAGAGGTATCATCTTGCGCCAGATACTGGGACCAGTTTGTATGATTGGAGCCAACATTTGGCAGACGAAGGGTACTTGGTTCTCTCTTCGAAGGTTCGTCGCCAAGAGGAGTGTTCAGAAATAATTCAAGTCTTGAAGAAACATTTAAAAAGGGACGTGGACCCGGAAGCTTTGTTCTCGCTTTCTGAGAAGACGTCGACGGTGACGAAACCGATCCTGCAGTCACTTCTGTCTGGGCCAATTCCAGGCTTCGAGCATTTAGTTTGGACATTCCAAATGCGTAAAATGGCTGTACTTCTCTCGAAGGCTTGCGATTTTAAGGAGCCGGTGTTGCTCATTGGTGAAACTGGAGGAGGAAAGACTACGGTTTGCCAACTCTTAGCTGCGATTAGGAAGCAGCGATTGAGTATCATTAATTGTCATATGCACACGGAGGCTTCGGATTTTCTTGGGAGTCTTCGTCCAGTCAGGGAACATCAGAGTCAGAAGTTGTTCGAATGGGTCGATGGTCCTTTGGTGAACGCTATGAAGGACGGTGGGTTCTTCGTGGTCGATGAGATCTCGTTGGCCGACGACAGCGTGTTGGAAAGATTAAACTCTCTTTTAGGTAATTTCTTAAGATAAGAAAATCACTAAAATTTTGCACAATGTTTTATAAATGTAATACTTAATAATTATTAGAATTTCACTGCTTTATTATTATTTTTATTGGAGGACTCAATTTTAATCGTCCCTTGAATGATTCAATGTAAAACTCGTATATTTCTTTTCCAGAACCTGAACGGAAGCTTCTAATTGCTGAGAAACAATCGGATGAGGAGAACGAGACGGTCACAGCCCACGAAAATTTCATTTTCGTCGGTACAATGAATCCTGGCGGCGATTACGGGAAGAAGGAATTATCGCCAGCTCTCAGGAATAGGTTTACTGAAATTTGGTGCGAGGGTTGCGTGTCGTCGGATGACTTGAAATCAATTATGGTGCATAATCTACGTGAAGAGTTGAAGGAAACAGTTTCCACGGCGATAATACAGTTCATCGAATGGTTGAAAACTACGGAGATAGGAAAGAGGCTCGTTGTTAGTGTCAGAGATATTTTAACATGGGTAAACTTCGTCAATTGTTGCGAGAATTTCGAAATAGGAGACGCCTTCTTCCACGGTGCAGCGTTGAGTTACATCGATGGGCTCGGGTCTGGTTTGACTGCCGCCGAAAATACGAGGAAGTTGAAAGATTTTAAAGAATCAGCGTTGAAGTTCATCGAGCAGCAGATACAAAGTACATTGAAATCTAAACTAACGTTGAATCGCAATGAATACGATGTTGAAAGTCGTGAAGGAAAATTCGGGATTCCTCCATTTTATATAAGCAAAGGTAATGAAGATATTCCAAGCAATGTCGGATTCGCTTTCAACAATCCAACGACCAGGTCGAATACTCTGAAAGTTTTACGCGCTCTACAATTGAGGAAACCAATTTTACTGGAAGGCAGCCCCGGAGTCGGGAAGACTAGTCTGGTCTCTGCGCTTGCCAGGGCGTCCGGACATCGTCTTCTCCGCTTAAATCTCAGCGATCAAACGGATATCTCTGATTTATTCGGAGCCGATTTGCCAGTGGAAGGAGGTAAATCTGGTGAATTCTCTTGGAGGGATGGCCCTTTTTTAAGAGCTTTAAAAAACGGAGATTGGATTCTTCTCGATGAGCTGAATCTTGCATCGCAGTCAGTTCTCGAAGGGTTGAACGCTTGTCTCGATCATAGGGGAGAAGTCTATATACCGGAGTTAGGGATGTCTTTCGTTGTGAAGCCAGGGACTCGGCTGTTCGGTTGCCAGAACCCTCTTCGTCAAGGTGGAGGCAGGAGAGGACTTCCAAAATCGTTTCTGAACCGTTTCACTCAGGTTAGTAACAATTTAACTAATTACAGTAATTTCCAGATATGTGGCCATATTTTCCTACAACCGCGAGAGTCATCCTTCCACTAATTCTTAGAAGTGCTCGTTCGACTCTTATCTATGTTTATTCTTCTCCTCTCTATATTGAGAAAATAATTTAATACTCATGACCTTTAAGGGATGTTAAAGTTCAAAGATTACAACGTTGCATCGGTGCAGACGTCCTTTACATTAAGTCAGTTAAATATCTCAGCAACGGACAAAAGCACTTTAGTACTTTTATACTCAGAATACTCCAAACTATCAAAATATGGCATAAAAAATTGAACATTCCATTTTAAAAAACCGTTTAAAAAAAGATGACCGCTACATCTTCTCTAATTTAAATGGACAGAATTCGTGAAACACACTGTATAGGTCACTGTAGGTGATAGTAGTGCCTGCAACTTTGATTTAAAACATTTTTTGCTAGGATCAATAATTTGCTAGTTATTAACTATAAACTCGTACTCTGTCCAACAAAATTCTATACTGAAAATCCAGTTTGATACTCATGGTAATTGCTCAGAAAATATTGGAGTTGCAATAAAATTGCACGTGACGTAGTAAATATCTCAATTCTTGTTCATCTCACAATTTCTACTAACTGGCTTGAAACTACATACAATAAAATTGTCGGGCAAAATCTCAGTGAGTAGAAATTGTTACGTGAACAGAAATTGGATCATTTACTGTAGTAGTGCCTATAACTATTATTTTTTGCTAGAATCAATAATTTACGAGTTATTAATAATAAACTGAAACAGTACAAAATTCTGTACTGAGGGATCAATTTGATACTCATGACGATTACTCAGAAAATATTGAACACAAAAAAATGATATACCTTATTTTTAAATAATAGTAGTATTTACAAATTTTAGGATCAGTAATTTACGAGTTATTAACAATAAAATAGTATCCTAACTAAAAAATCCTATACTGCTTGTTCTTTTGAATCAGTTTGTTACTTATAACTATACTGCATTGGATTTTATGCATTTAATATTGCAATCTGAAATGCATTTTCTTAACTGATTACATTAATCAACCCTAAATCTACCTTATAATACCTAAAATCTTATATTTTGCATAAAAATCTGCTATCTACTCATAATGTTTACTCAGAAAATATCGGAATTACAATAAAATTACATTGGGTCTTATTTGCAGCTAATACCACCTACAATTTTATTTAAAACATTTTTTGTTGCCATCTTATGTTTATTTTTCTTCTCTTAATTGTTGTCGCGCTCGCATAGTCGACAGTATTTAATTTTTCTCATGCTGCGCTTTCGAACGACGAGCGATTCTCAGAAATCCACCCTTCTAGATATATGATCACGTCCAGTCCCGATCGTTGGTCACACAGGGTGGGTCTAGTAACATGACTTCGAATAAGTAGTAATATTTATTATACAATAAAAATATGTAATCGTTACGTTACAAGACTCACCTCGCATATCTGAAGATTACTGTAATAGTTCAATACAATCGCAAGATAAGTCTCATTGATATCTTCGTTTTTTGTATCAGGTTTTCGTCGACACGCTGGAAAAGGTTGACTTGCAGTGCATTTTGAAAATGCAATTTACTGAATTACCAGAAGATCTGATCGATAAGATGATACAGTTTAACGAAGAACTGAGTTCCCAAATCGGGACTACTTGGGGTCATTCGGGGTCACCTTGGGAGATGAATTTAAGGGATCTCACAAGATGGTGTGAAATAACGATCGCTAATTTTAAACGTGATTCGAAGAAGACGTTCAATATTGGAAACGGGGCTCAATTGATTTACGTCGACCGAATGAGGACGGTTCAAGACAAAAACAATGTAAGATCTGTTTTATTTACATGATTTTAAATTAAACTCACGATGTTAAGTTGAAATTACGCGGTTTCCATTAAAACGATTTATTCACAGTTTTACTATTCAGAATTTGTATGATTTTCTTTTTTACACGATTTTCTTTTAGTCTTTCTTACAT